CAGGCTGATAACAGACAGTTGGGATCGCGGCGAAATTCTCTCTGCAGACCCATTCTCACAGCGTTTATCAACCTTTTTCTTACTCAATATCAAGCCACACTTATTGTTTTTACTTCGGCTGTGACTTTGTGTGTGCTCAGGGTGAGTTTGGCTGTGTTTCGCTGTCAATAAACAAGGAAACCACACCTCCACGGAGCTCAGCGCGATTCACAACGTCCCGACCAATCAGAGCACACTGTGCTCACAGGGAGGGTGGGGGCTGGAGCTATTGGAGCTACAACGAGCCGTTAAAGGCAGAGAGTGAAATTCAGTGAATACACGTAGTTTACAGAAATGCTGTATGAGAAACCAAAGTGATTTTGGAAACTTGCACAATATAAATCTATTCTAGTAGACCTCAACAATGGAATTATGATCAGTGGAAATGGCCATGACATGGGACCTTTAACTGCTTCAAGGATCCAGCTAACCTCGACTTGTTAATAATTCTGATGTGCCATAAAAAATGTTTCAAAAAATACATCCCGCAATAAAATGTAAGACTATGTCAAAATATGACTAATTTCTTCAATATAAAAAGCCTAAAGATTAATGTCTGCTGTTAAGGCTTTGATTCTTTAAAAACATATCAGCTGAATGTTGGAAATATATCAAATAACAGAAGAAGTAAAGCAGAAGGCAAGATATCTCAAATAAAAACAAATGAAAGCATATGGAGCATAATATTGACACAAACCTTGCTCTGGTCAAGGCTTACTGTATATTGACATAGGTTTAAATATCGGTACCTTCACAGGTTTGGCATCCATCCTGATCTTGCCCCAGGACACAGCCTCGTCAGGTCTGGCTCCAGAGTCAGAGCCATCGAACTCCTGACCCGTGTTCACAAACACAGCATAGTCAGCCCCATTTCTCTGTAGGGGGGGGGGTAGAAAGAGCAGGTCAGAACGGGAACTGGTGTTGTAATGTCCATGTTAAAGCAGGGGTTATTATCCACAAGTGTAAATCTAGAGAGCACAAATATATGTTTTAACTTTATCAACGTTTTTTATTTTTATTAAACAATATCTTCATGGCCAGCAGTGGTGGTTGGAATATTAAGTTGCTCTACTGAAGTAAAAGTATCAATACTGCGATGTAAAAATACATTAAAAGTCGTGCAATGAAATGAATCTCTTAAGGTAGATAGGTGTAATAAACCCTGAAATTATTAAAAGTAAGAGTATTCATAATTTAGAGAAAATGGAAATATTAACTGTTATAGTTCAAAGAGGAACTTAATTTAATATATTCAATAAATAAAAACTACAAAATGGTAAGTATCAGGAAATTGTGCAGTTGTACGTTTCACCAATGATGACAACTACTGTGCAGCATTGCATTTAAAAGTTGCCGTGAATTTAAGTTTGGTTAGGGTTATAAAAAAAGATGAAAGTTAGTTACCATAAGATTAGCGTTGCATATGTGATGTTTGACCAGCCCTCCTCCCAGGATGATCATTCCCGTCCTTTTGGCAAACACTGCCTGGCCGTTCATCTTGCGAATATCTAGAAAAAAAATACACACTCATGAAGCGTCCAACAGATGAGATGATCCTTTTCTGTTAGACACATTAAAAGCTGCTTTTACCTTCCACAATGTCCAAAATTAAGCCCGGCTTCTTAAAAGAGTGGAAGTAGAGAATGTCACCCAGAGAGCCGTCCGTTAGTGCCGGACTGAACACAGGAATGTTATTCTGAAACAGAAGATAACAAAGCATATTTACTGACTGTAAAAACCCTGTACTGACACAACAACCGGTCATAGAGGTTTTATAGTCCACTCATGTCACAACTTGATTACCATTCACTCAACAAAATACACAATTTATTGTTCATACATTTTTGGGGAAATGTGCTAACAAGTTTATTATTATGCTCTTCAGGACTGTCAGAATTTCAGGCAGTTGAATTTTTTTTTTTTTTTCTTTTTATCCTTTACCAACAAAACATCTCACCTTGTACGCCCAGTAGTAGACAGATTCAGTATTATTGATCTCCTTGCCAAGCCGATGGATCATTTTTGAGGGAGTCCAACGGGTCCCCTAAAATAAAAAATAAAAAGAATGTAGACAAAATTATAAAATTCAACTGCAGCGTTTAGTAGCGGTGTAACAATTCTGCAGTTCCACTAATACATTTGACCCTCAATTCTTACATTAATTTGTGGCAATGACAGCTTTGACATTATTCCAGTCTGGATTCAAAAACGTCCCAGATCTCAAGTTTTACACCCTCTCATTTAAAAAAACATTTAAAAGATAGCTTCATGGTGTAATGATAAATCTACCATAAGTTTTTGGGAGCGTGCTAAAGTAAAGTCAGATAGTCAAATCATGTATTTAAAATGTAACAACCATAAATTATACCAGGGAAGAAACAAAAAGGCACATAATAAAAAAGAATTATTGACGATCCCTAAGGGAAATCCTGTTGAACCCCATCCCCTCGCCCCCAGGCGGAAAAACGCATCATCTGCAGGAAACAGCGTCTGAGGGCATCTTAATATTTAATAAACTATGAATGTTTTATATCCATGTAACAGGAAGAAACTCAGCTAACTGATCCATTTTTTTTATCAGTTTTTTTTTTTTTTGCAAAAGAAAAACACAAAGCTAACGCTGAGCCTCTGAATTAGCCACGAGCGAAAAAAATTCGATCGGTACCTACATCATCACTCCATGATAAGAACTCGCGACTTTATAAACAAAAACAGACATCAACACATGGCGCAAGGTAGCAAAAATGGGTATATGGCTTACCTTTGTCGTTGTCTGATCAAAAGTTGTCTTCAATGGCATTAAAACGATAAAAACGCTGCTGAAGGTTAATCCATGTCTGTGTTACTTTGAAATGATTTCTGATAATCCATAAGCAATAAACCTACTTTTCCGTTTTCAGATGTCAGAGCGTGAGATACGTTCGCTCTGGGCAAAACTGCATGCGCAAAGCCCCCACTTTTTTTGGTTAATGTTGGTGCGTATGTGGAAATTCCCCTTCGATTCTATTGGCTCTAACGGTTAAAAAGAGATGTCAATCACCAAAATTGACCAATGGGTTCCAGAGAAACGGCAAAAATGCCCATTTCCACCCAAATCACCCCAGAGGTGGAGTTTATTTTGCTAAACCTCTCTAAAAAGGTCAAATGTCACTTGTTTTGCATCAATCTTGATACAGGGTATTTATTATATGTTGTACTTTGGATTCCTAAAGCTTTTAGTCTAC